CTTTGTCAAAATTACTACCTCTACAATCAATAGTAAAAAATTTTGGACTACATAAACAACTTGTCTATTTTTTATTCATCTAATTCTGACCTATTAAATACATGTGCAAACACATCGATAATGTTCCACGTCGATGTTTTGAGTAGGATAAACATCGAACATCGATGTCATCATCGATGTTTCTGAAACATCGATCATCCCTACTTTATACATAGTTTATAGTTGGCTACAGGTGTATGGAATGGACTACAATAGTCACATACTATCAGGTGGGTATAATAAGTATAAGTATTAAGTTCGTATGACGGCTCCGTGGCGCAGTAGTTAACAATGAGTTACAGCGCTGAGGGCCGCGGGTTCGAATTCCGCACGGAACAAGTGTACGTGTGGCCTACCAGTAATTGTTCCAGATCTGGATGTTTGTCCTTGTGCAATTTATGTATGTAAACTGCCTCCACGATATAGAAGAAAATCCTAGTGTGGGGGTTGCTTTTATAAAGAAAAGAAAAAAAATAAGTTTGTAACTTTAATTTCAAAAAATAGCTTCAGATCAACCAAGCATGATTGTTTAGGGAAATCATCTTTATAATATGAGAATCCTATGACCAACAGCGAACTGACTGATGACGATGGAGAAAAGAAATACGGCGCATGCGCGTCCTATGAATTGCCAATTCAGCCCATTGTTTTAATTCTCCTGGTAACAAAGCTATTGTCGTGTTATTATAAACGAGTAGAACGACCTGAACGAGTCCTATATATTATGGAGATAAATAATTTTAAATTTACTGGTAACTGGTGCTATATTACTGGTATAGTTTTAGCACGAATAGGTCTGCTCCACCGGGGAAGGACCACACTCTCATAGAATACCAGCGTAAATAGCAGCTTAACGCTACTGTGTTTTGTATGGTAAGTGTAGAGAACCGGAGCTTTTTTTACTGAAAACGAGGCATTCCATCTTAGTCCTCACGGTTGACGACGCATCTGCATTTCGATTCCTAACCGAGTATAGATGTAGATGTCTATGCGTCACAGCAATCACTTAACTTCAGCTGGACTGTGTGCTCGTTTGGCACCTTTATTTTATAAAATATTGATAAAATTACTTAATGCTTTTCAGGTATTCTCTGAGTTGCATCCACTAAGCAATTCGTCATCCCGAGATAAATTTGTTGTGGTGATTGTGATAGATGATAGCCAGCATAGTGAATCGTTACATTTTAATATCGTCATTATAACAGCATCATTACAATTCCACTGTTGAAGCAGAAAAAGAAACAAAGTTTTTTACTCAATACTATAGCAAGTACCCGGCGCGTTGCTGCCACAGAAGAAATATTTGTGGAAATATCGTTTTAAATTTGGAAGAGTAATATAGGTTTAATTAGGAATTATAATATATTCATTGAAGTTTAATGAATTAGAAATTTCAAATACATTTGTCGGTACGATACCTTGTGGCACTTACAGAAAGTTGAAAGCAATAAGTTGACAAAATTTTAGCGCAACCGCAAAGATGAACGGTATGGCAGCGCACAAAATACGTACAAGCAAACATTAATCTTTATATTATAATAACACAGATTATAAATAATACTTATTGCAAGTCACTCTTTTGTTTAATTACCATTGGTTCGGAAAACCCCTCTGTCCTGGAACCAGCAAAACATAGGCGTCTTCAAGGAATGCCGCAAACCACAGTCCTGCAGTTATCCTGTTTTAGATATAATTCTAAAACAGGATAACTGCAGTAGAACCAGAATAATCGACATAGCCCAACAGATCAGCAAGCTAAAGTGCCAATAGGTCGACCATATTATAATATACCGGTAAACGAAGGGGTAGAAAAGGCTGGAAGTAAGACATGCATGCAGGTGGCTCAAGACCGTGTTTGTGGCGTGACTTGTGAAGGGTTGTAATGCTGATGATGATGATAATGAAACGCCCATAAATATGCAATTACCTTGTAAAAGTATTTTAAAACTGTTATTAATTTAATATACTTCAAACAGATGTTTTCTAAAATGTACTAACTTAACCCATCTATATCAATCAACCTCCTGCAACTTTTACTCATCTTTACGGTTGTGTTTTTTTGTCAAAATAAATGTTGACTAATACGGATTGGTGAAGAAGATGTAGAAATAAAATAACAATCTTTTTGTAATTAGCCGTATATATCACGACGTATGTACTTACCAGTTACGTCATAACTTTTAAATATAATAAGTGATTTCTTGGATAACACGCTGATACCAAGAATTATATGACCAGCAGTGAGCTCTACAAGTACAATATTTTATATTTGTTACGTGATAATTATCAATCAATACATTTGTTAAATACGTGTAAATATATCATAAATCGTGTATTATATTTATTATTGACGCGGTAAAGCCAACGTGGCTTGTTGCAGGCAGTTGTATTAAGATTGATGTACGGATTTATCGGCTCCTCTGGGAAACAAACACCCTCGCGTGAAAACCTTGTACCAGTAAGTAGAGTGTAGGGTCCCCCCACCACCCTCCCCACTAGATGGAGTGACGACCTAGTAAAACATGCAGCAAATCGATGGGTTAAGGTAGCTTAGGATAGAGAGAGGCCTCTCTTAAAGAACATTCTTTGGGCCTGTGTTCTACGAGTTTTGGAAAAATAGTGTTCTGAAATTTTGTTTGACACAATAATGATGCCCATTTTAGTACGTCATGCCAAAATGAACCGCTGTATCACACACCCCGATGAAAGTTTTCTACTCTGGCCTTACAATAATTGGAGAAACTGAGTCTGTTGTAAGCGATAAACATAGAAGTCATATAAGTGTTCGTCGCACATCCTGTCGAACGCTATCTAGGCCTTAGGGTAAGGCCACCGTGAAGAGTGTTTGTTGAGGTTGGGCATTCCACGAAAAGCCCAAACACATGCTCTTCTTTTACACTTTCCTGATTACATGCTCTCCACTGAAGCTTAGACTTCGAATTGAGAATAGATTACAAGCTCATCATCTTGTATGCGTGCTCAGAGTGGCTGCTGTAACTGTACACGCCGAACGTGCCGCTACTTAGCACGCCCCGCTGAAAGTTCTCCACTACTCATGTTGTCTTCGCCTAAAGACCGATTTACACTTCGACAAGTACAGTAGTGAGTTAACTTGCGAACCTGGCGAGTTAAGTTTGAACCTCGTTTGAACGGCAATAAGCGAGTTAAGTAGCAAGTTAACGATTAAGTTGAACGGGATAGCCGGCCGAGCTATTTTTCTGGCGAGTTAAGTGCGAAGTGCTGCCCTCCTGCGCGTCTCCCGCCACCCGCAACTAAACTCGCCGCTCGTGTAAACGAGCGAGTTTAGTTCAGTGCATAAGTTGACAGGACGCAACGTTTACGCGCCAAAATGTACAATCGTACTTTTATAATAATGAAACTCGCCACAAAGTTTGTACGATAGTGTTTATTGAATATTTATACGTTTTATATTGAGTTTTAATAATAAAATGGACGGAAGATAACACGTATAAATTCGTACAGGAGTATTCAGAACACGAATGTTTATATAATAGTAGAAGTTCAAATTGTAAAATTAAATCTGCTAGAGATGCTGCACTCATGAAAATTCTTAAAAACTTCTTTAACAACAACCATTAATACTTCTCTGACTGGATCATTTAATTCTAGACGTAATTATAGAACCATCTTAAACGAAAACCAGAAAAAATCCTGTAGTCTTGGAACGTCATACTCCAACGAACTCTATGAACTAATGTTCGAAACTAAACTCGCCACGAAGACATTGTTTGAACGCTACTGCCCACTTAACCGTTTACTGTCAACTGTCCTGTAACTAAACTCTCTACTGTACTTATCGAAGTGTAAATCGGTCTTAAGCTCGAGTGGGCAGCGTTCTTGGTCAAACTTACTCATGTGTTGAATAAATGTGTCAACACCATATTGACTTCTATTTCGGTTAAAAGTAAATTTCACTGACGACGTCTTAAATTAAAACTATGGGAGGAAACTAAAACGAAATTTTGTGTTTAAAGCTTATTATTTTTGTACGTCGTTATGCATGATTAGTACAGAAATGTTTACTTAATCGTAAATTACTGTTATTCTGGTGACAAAAAAATATTAAAGAAGTTGTGATGTATTGACTTTTATTAAATATTAATTAAATTGCTATTATTCTGGTGACAAAAAATAAACAATTAATCAAGGAATTTGTGATATAATATTGACTATTGTTGACTCACGATTATAAATACTTAACAGCCAGTATATAAATGCACTATACATACAAAGTAACTATTTACATTACAATTCTAAAATAAATGATTTTGTTTATAGAATTCAGCGTAAATAAATAATCATGAACACAAAATAAAGTTTCTAAGAATTACACACCATACAGAAATATTTTATAAAGATTTGTAAGGAATACTATCGTTTCTTATTATCTAATAGCATAGCCTAATATACTTTGAATGACAGCATTCATGCAGTTATCTACTACAATTTTATAATATACAATTTTAATTAATCTCTTAATAAAAATATTACTTGAAATTCAAATATTGTCCAATTAAAACGTTATTCAGGCATAAATATTACATATTATTAAATGGTGAAAAACATTAAAAGGTTCTGTTTATTATATTTCGTATTAATTAATTTACGAGTTCTCGTGGAACATTGTCTTGCGCAGATTCAGCTTATTAAAAAACTGGAGATCACGAAATTATTCCTAATACTTAAAAGTGCATTCGAGAAACATAAACCTTCTCTACAATCAAAATGCGTATGCCTTAATGACCGCTACAAAATTGCTACAAAGATCACCATACATAGTTAAGTTATACGGCTTTTAGCTCGATATTATATCATAATATATTTCGCAAATATACCTTTAACATTAAGGGCCATTGCTTCATTATTTACGGTAATTATAAGCATTGTTATAACCACATAAACATCATTAAGGGGCTTAAATGCGAGGGATTTCTACTTCCTTACCGGTGCCGGCCTAAATCGGGCGCTCGTCTGATTACTGAATGCGTGTTCTCACCATTATTTATCACAATACTATGAATCACGAGTCCACTAACCCGCTGCCTTACTTGGTTTTTGCTCGCACGAGTACCTAAAAAATAGATGATTCTAGTCATACTAAAATTTATACGGCTTACTACTAAGTAGGTAAAAACGATCCTATTTTTATATTACAGTGAAACCTGGTTAATTGGGAACTCAAGGGACAAAGGATTTTATACCATTTAAAGAGGTTTTCATTTATACAGTTTCCCAACTAGACAGGTTTAAAATATAGTTGTCTTATTTATACAGACCCCGTGTCGAAAATTTATATACTAACTAAAATAATCGTGTCGAAACCAGTCCCAACCTGATAAATTGTCTCACTTATATAAGGGATTGAGTTTCAGAGTCTCGATTATAGAGGTAAACGTCGAGAACATCCTAGAAATCAAATCTCATTAACCAGGTTCGAAAAGTCCCATTAACAGAGGTAATTCGATGAAAAAGTTCCGGGACCTCATTGTATGTAGTTCTCAATAATAGAGGTTTCTCACTTATCCAGGTTCCACTTAACCAGGTTTCACTGTATTAACTACAAACTATATATATGCATAGGTCTATATAACCATATGAACGTAGGTTTAGTCTCAGTAATGTGTTGTAAATTTCATATTTCTATCCTGCTTTGTAAGGCTATAAAAATAAATTTGTGAATAATGAATATTCAAATATTTACTGATTAATTCTGATAATATGATTTGTCAAAAATTGAAATGTTTTCTAAGATAACTTGATAAGTTTATTTAAATACATTTTACCTTTTTTCATACCTTAACCGATTTCAACTTATCGCCCAAGGCAGGAATGGCAGCAATAGTCAGCGTAGTACGGATAATGGCAAAGTCGCGCTTGCACCGCTAGCATACAGTTGCTTAATTTGTCCACACATGCACCTGTATAAATTTAAAAGTAAAATAAATATATGTATCATTGGTAACACCGTACCTGAGAGTAAACATTTTGCAGAAAACTGAATGTATATTCAAGGTCACAGCATAAAATTATGTATCATATTATATCGCATCATATTCTTGAAGTACCAGGCGGTCCCAAAATGAACTGGACTGATATAGTACAACGCGACCTGTCGCTACATGTTGTGTTGCATTAAATAGAACGTTTAACGTGCACTTAATATAAGAAACATGCATCGACATGAAATGCTTAGTCTTAGTTTAACAGGCATTTGAATAACGAGAGTCGCGTATTTTTTCAAAATGTCGAAAAATGAGTATCGAAGTGTCATAAAGTTTCTGTTTAAAGTAGGTTTATCCCCTGCCCAAATAAAAGAACGATTGGATGGCGTGTATAAGGAGTCTGTCCCCTCCTATAGCACATTGAAAAATTGGGTGAAAGAGTTTCGCCTCGGGAGAGAAACCGTCGAAGACTTTGGCCACGACGGTCGACCTGTGGGATTGCTCACTCCCGAAACGATTGCTCTTATCGAAGAGGAGGTTCTGAGTGACCGCCGTTTGAAGATTAGAGAAATTGCAGCAAGGCTTGGGCTCTCTAAGAGTATGGTTCATCGCGCAATCCATGAACATATTCACATGAAAAAAGTGAGTGCAAGATGGGTACCGAAACTTCTTTCAGCGGTACAGAGACAGGAAAGAGTGAGCTGCGCTTCGGAGTTTTTTGGATCTTTGTGGCGAAGATCCAAAGACTGTTATCGAGCGGCTAGTGACTGGTGATGAAACTATGATCTTGTATTATGATCCACAAAGAAAGCGCGAGTCAATGGAATGGCGTTATAAGGGTGAAAAGCCCCCTAGAAAGACAAAAGTGCAACAATCGACTAAAAAACTGATGTGCACAATATTTTGGGATTTTCAAGGCATTTTTATGGTGGATTTTAAAGAACGTAATACAGTCGTGAACGGCGAATATTATGCTTCTTTAATATATAAATTACGAGACAAGATAAAGGAAAAACGAAGAGGAGGCAAGCTGTCTAAAGGTGTCCTGTTGCTCCATGACAACGCCCCTGTTCATACCGCTGGTGTTTCGAAGGATGCAGTTCGTCAATGCGGGTTCACAGAAGTTCAACATCCACCTTACAGTCCAGACATGGCCCTGTCCGACTATTATTTATTTCCAAATTTAAAGCGGGACTTAAGAGGAAGAAAATTTTCAAGCGATGAAGAGTTGCAGGCGGCCGTCTTCAGTCATTTTGAGGATAAAATAGTGATTATTTTTATAAAGGTTTAGAGACGTTGATTCACAGATGTCAGAAGTGTGTTAGTATTCATGGTGATTATATTGAAAAATAAAATTGGTTTCGTTTCATTTCCTTCATTGGTTCATAGTTAGGCCAATTCATTATGGGACCGCCTACGTATTTATCATCTTTAAGCATGATAGTATCCTAACGATGTTTCTTATACTACCAGCAATGAGAGAAATTATCTGTGTACCTATATTATGTAATTTAAAATGATGACACGAGATGGTGCCATGAATGTCAGTTCTTGCAAAGGTTTTGTTCTTGGCAGTTATGCACATTCTTGAAAACGTGTCCCACAGTCTAAAGAACTTGCACTGTGGCTATACGTTCTTACGTTTTCCGTCGCCAAGCAACAGTATACATACAAGAGTGTACACATACGGGACTTATGGTTTAATTCCAAGAGTAAGCATAATCACATACTGAGTGTGACTTTATCTTAGTCCTTACAATTAAAAACGCATCCGACAAGTGTCCCTTGGCATTAAAGTTAAAAGTTAAAGTTACAGTTTATATACGACTCACTGCTGGGCACAGACCTCCTCTCATTTCTGAGAGAGTTTTAGTGCAAGGAAAAGTAACGCCGCGCTACCCCAATGAGTGTTGGCAAACTTCATGATTTAAAAGAAAAAAAACTTTGTTATTTCTCAGATATGCAGGTTTCCTCACGATGTTTCCTTCACCAACGAGCACGTGGTAAATCAGCGCTCAAAATTGCAAGCACCAATTTCATTGATGGCGGCGGGGTCGAACGCGGGTTGTTAGGTACTGTCTAATTTATATATACGTAGTATATCATATATATATATATAGATATATAGCTATATATATATATAAGAACCTAAAACTTACCGTCAGCAAACGATCGCTCCTTCAGATTCTGTGTGTTGCGACTTTGGTGTCTTGTTACTCTCTGTGTGTCTGCAACTAAACAATTTAGGAAAATAATTATTAAATACTAATATCTATAATAATCAATATTAAATACAACTTATACGAATTAATGATAAGCAATAATATAAATAAGTGTATGATTTCTTTATATGAGAGGGGGCAAACGAGCATGCGGCTCACCTCCTGGTGTGAATACCGCCGCTCATGAACAACCGCAACAGCAGGGAAATGCAGATGCGTTGCGAGCCTTTTAAAAAAAGAGTAGGCTCTTTTCTTGAAGTTCGGAAAAATCGCTAGTGGAAGACGATTCCACGAAGAAGTTGTGCGTGGAAGAATAAAATAATTCCATTGTTTCACTTTGCCCTTAAGTCAGGTTGTAATGTATGAGTTATCCATAACTTTTATCTGACAATTTAAAATCACAACGTAATTTTTCTTCCTGGCTATACATGAATTTTATACTTATTTATGGTAACGTATACGTATGTTTACTTTATTCTTTGTGCTGCAAATTTGTACGAAACTGATGGTTATGCCACTTAGTTAAAATTGGCCACGTGAATCTTTATTGGCTGATAAAGAATATCCAAAGCTTACCACTTGTTCACTATATGTACAATAGTTTTCTTTATTAATAAAAATGTAAATTTATATTTCTATTATTATTAATGTGTGAATGAAGCGACAGTAGCCTGATGGCAGGGCGCGGACCGCGAACTCAAAAAGGTCGTGGATTCGAATCCACCATTCGACTACTGGCGTGAACCACTCGTAACACAAGCCCATTTAAGCTTACCACGAGTGGTTAAGGAGAACATTAGTAATGTTTATAGCATTGTTAATATTCTTTTAAAAAAAATTAAAACTTAAATATAAAATGTCACACTTATGAAAAGATCAGAAGAGATAAGCATTATTAGTTTATTAGCATAATTAGTAATCGCGCGCGGGACCTGGAATGAAGCTTCGTGACGTGTAGTGTTCGTCGTAATAGTATATACCTAGTAGTATGAAGTATATAGTATATGTATTTTTGATGTTACATATTTAATACTTATGGATGTAAATTTTTGGGAGTAAAGATTTTTATCAAAGGTATTGTTTTTTTTTGTAACGCAAAGGAAGGATTTGCTGATTGATATTTCAAAGAGATTTTTCCCTTCTTTCACATTTTTATACTTGTTAATTTCAGATTTGGTACATTATTATCTTATTGTCTTAAAATTGATAAAAATGGTTAGGTTACTGCTACATAATGATCAGACAAAGTGATAACTGATAAATAATGAATTTTAAGTCAGTATTAATGTCATACCACGATTTAACTTGTCATAATTTATATTGCCTGGGTATTATTAACAATGCTCTGATTAAATCCTTGGTACATATGGTCTTGGTCACTATACACTTGGTTGGTATATAAGTGCTAAAAGATGTAAGACAACTCACCCGATGGCACGGGACTGATGATAGCGGGCTTAACGTCGGGCTTGGTGGAGCACCTGGCGGGGACGCAGGTGCGGCGAGCCGCGGGCCGCAGCCCGGCACAGTCGACGTCCCGCGCCGCGCCAGCAGCGCCCGCCTCACCGCCGCGAGCGCACCAGACCGTGCGCGTCTGTATGCCCACCTCGCACGGCCCCGTGCACTGCACATAATAACCAAGTTCTTTTTATAGAATAAGGGTGACAAGCGAGGATACAGGCCACTTGATGGTGAATGGACACTGTGACCCATAGAGATCTACATCTATCCTCGATTAAGAATCCAATAAAGCCGCATCGTCACCCCTGAGGACTAAGATGGAATGACTCCTATCCAGTAAAAAGAGTCTCCGGTTCTCTACACTCACAATACGAAACACAGCAGCATGTAGATGCTATTTTACGCTAGAATACTGTAAGAGCGTGATCCTTCCCCGGTCGAGCCGACGCTTTCGTGCTACAACCATAATATACAGCATGGCTCTGCCATGTGTAAAATTTATAATATTTCAAGTATAATGTTTCAATAAAAATTCCCTTTAGACAAAAATCAGTTATTAAATTGTTTATATTAATATCATTATATTATATTATAGGAATACCCTTAACCGACGAGCATGTATGCGTAGGTGTATGGATGTGAAGGAAGCGAGAGAGGTGTGTCAGGATCGTCCCAAATGGAAGTCTGTAGTCTCTGCCTACCCCTTTGGGTGACAGGCGTGAGTGTTTATATATATATATATATATATATTTTTTTTTTTTATATATATTTATCGGTAACTCCTCTTTATCGAGTGAATTCCTTAAATCGGCCTTAATGGCAAGATGTTAAAGAAGTTATTTGGTTACAAGGTTAAATGTCTCCTCACAATGGCAGTTGTCCTCAAGATTACAGCCTTTTGAATTTTGAATCTTGCTAAGCCCAATTTAGGTGTTTCGGTATAATACCTGTAGTTGAGAGGATAAGCGGAATTATAATTACCTCATTCTGCCGGCACATCTGCTTTACCTCTTCAGGAAGTGGCTGGTACTTAGAATTTTTCATTTTTTTTCTTTTATTTATATTATTATATTTATTATTGTTTTGTATTATAGGCTATTATATACACGAATGAGACAGTCAATTTATTTATTTTAATTATATTAAAGTGACAAACGTATTCACATTAGACTTTTTTTTCTATTAATAACCTTACCCCACACTAGAATTTTCACCTGTATCGTGGAGGCAGTTCACAAAGTAATTCGAACCCGTGGCTTCCAGCGTTTAAAACTCATTGCTAAGCCACTGCGCCACGGAGCTGTCGAGCTGATATTTAATTGCCGCGTTGCATCTACTTTTTAGCCCACAGTAAATAAACGACCTTACAACTAAGCAACTCCTCCAATTCTTTAACAGTGTGTCTTTTCTGTGTTAACAATTAATAACCAGTTTCTATTCCTGCACGGGGCAAGTATTATTTCAAAGAAATATTAGTTCTGGGTCTGTAAAACGCCAATACACATGAAAAGCTTCCAACGCGCGCAACAATTTTATTGTTGTCATTTTGTTTACTTTTTTTCTTTGTGCAGAACCCTGTACTTAAAAGGTAAAAATTACTAATGTCACTCTGACGTCTGACTCTCTGTCGGTATGTCAAATAGTTTATAGACAGAATAACTTATAAGATTTGAAATTTTGATATTAGTGAAAAATATTTACCCAAAACCGAATATTGGATGAGAAATTCAATGAAATGTTTTTTTCATGAACAAGGAGTCGAAAAGTTTTTACCTTAACAAGTGGGATTTTATTAAATTAATTGAGTAGTTGCAAATTTCATTATTCTTGAATAATAAACGAGACTTTGTAGCTCAGACGGTTAGCGCTCGCTGTAAATTTCACAGTACGCGAGCAACCCGGGTCGATCCCCGCCTCCATCAATGACATTGATAATTGCAATTTTAAGTGCTGATTTACCACGTGCTCGGAGGTGAATTAAAACATCGTGAGGAAACCTGCATCTCTGAGAAATATGAAAAAAAATATTTTGAAGACATGTGAAGTTCGCCAACACGCAAATGGGGCAGCGCGGCGGACACTTCCTTCACTGCTGATTGATATATTTCTATCAGTAATGTCGTAAAATGAAATATATTACATGTAGGTACCTACCCACGTGCCTGCCTACGTATGTGGACGAATCAATTGTTCTGATTATACACAAATTGTTAAATTAATAGTACAATACGTAATATGTAACAGGTGCGTTGTTTCAATTGTATGTATTGTTAAGTGTAATACGGTGATGGACGGCACACAAACGCTGTATTGGGCTCGGCTTTCGTCGCATTCGTGTATTGGACAATTTATACCGATACGTATTAAACTAGGTCAAGGAAAGGAACCTAATGTGTGGTCAATTATTTTAGACAAGACAAAAATTAACCCATTGAACTTTGATTAAAACGTAAAAAAATTAAAAGAATGCTATAGAAAATTGACGCTAGATATCTTTTTAATATATCTACATGAAATTAATAATTGAGCCGTGATTGCTCAGGGGTTAAGTACTCGCTGTAAGTTTCACAGTACGTGAGCTTTACAGGTACGATACCCGCCGCCTCACCAATTATATTTTTAATTGCAGTTTTATGTGTCGAAATATACCGTGTTGAACGGATAACCTTATTTTTACTGAAGAGAGAGAAAACATCGTGAGAAAACATAATTGTCTAAGAAATTTAAAAAAATATTTCAAAAACATGTGAAGTCGTATATAGGCTGTAACTATAATTTTCAAATTGATAATAATTTGATTTGTTATGCCTTAGCAAATAGGTACCATTAAAAAAATGTAATAAAAGTAAAATAATAGATAACATCGTCGTCTATGTATTACTGGATCCATTAAAGGGTTTCCCTCGGAAACTGCCTCAAAGTTCGATAAAATATAATTATTGATATCATCATCTCTCAGCGTTAGTATTTAATGTGTAAAATGAGGAGCGGTAGGAAGTTTTCTCTAATTACAATTCCACCTTTTATAGTATATTAAAAAAATAATAGCAATAAATCCGTTACGGTTGTTCCCAGGACAGACATGTTAGACAGTACAGGGATATAAAATAAAACCCGACAAAAGCGAGTAGGCTCGCGAATTGAACTATGTATGTAGATAAATCAACCACCCTGGTAATTATAGGTAAGGTAAGCACTAAACATTGCTCTAAAGAAAAGGACGTTGTATTGAAAGGACAAACGTAACTGCGGTAAGAAAATATTTTCCCGTACATCAGTCTTACCTTAAAAATAATGTTATATTACTACAAATTAACCGTTTTGTAATTACTTATTTACTTGTGCTGTGAGACCTAGCTTCCTGCCGAAATTCGTCATTCTAGATTAACGGAATTCATTACACATACCCCACGGGCATTGATGAATAAGTTTGCGCCTACCAAAAACAAATTTATGTGATACTACCATGTACGAATAAAAAAAATCCATGATTCTATGTTAAAGGTGAGTAATAGTTTTGATTTTTTTTATAGAATTAGGTAACAAGCGAGCACACAGTCCACCTGATGGTAAGTGGATGCTGTGGCCTGTAGACATCCACATTTATCCTCAATCAAGAATCATAATGCAATGCATTGTCACCCCTGAAGATTAATATGGAATGCCTTGATTCCAGTAAAATGGCTCTCCTGTTATCTACACTCACCATACGAAAAAAGCAGCATTAAGCTACTATTTTACGCTGATATTCTGTGAGAGCGTGGTCCTGCCCCTGTCGAGCCGATCCATTAGTGCTACAACTATAGTATAGCTGCAGCGTGTTTCTACCACGTATGGTTCTGATGAGTGTGAGTGAGTTTGCGAGTATGAAAATATGTGATACTAGCGACCGTCAACGGCTTCGCATCTATTAATATGGCATTATTTAGATTTATTATAACCACAATTTATTTTATTAACAATATCAATTTTTTTCGGATAATGTATAGACTAGATCGATCGATTTTTTTTTATATATATATATATATATATATATATATATATATATATATATATATATATATATATATATATATATCATAATTATAAGATAATTACAGTTATGAAAACCCGAGAAAAAAACAGTATTTTGGTCAAAAATCTAGACTGATTTATTTTTATGATAAAGCACTACTACCTACTTACCTAAACTTAAATTTTATCATAAACCTAGAAAAGTTCAGGTTTTTGATCAAAAAACAAGAATTTTTTACGTCAATAGATAAGATTAAGTAACTACTTTGTCTTCTTTTGCTTCTTGATCCAAAGCTTAGGTAATCAGTAAGCTGATTTTACCATAAACCTGCCTTACTTAGATAAAGCTTTGATTGTGTTGTCTTAAAAGTTTGAATTTTTTACGACTCCAAGGAAAACAGTACAACTTATAGGTATTTGATATTATTTCAACTATTTAGATTTCTCTATCGTTCCAGAGAAAACGATCTTGACAGATGGAAATATACACAGATTGTTTTGTTTTGTTCCTTTTGAGATACCGAACACTAAAAATGTCTTTCAACGAATATTATTAATTTATACATTCATTAGTATATTACAGCATCTCCTAAGTCCACTGAGCTGACCTGCCAGCTGAACTTAGCTCTTCTCTTGAGATTGCTTCTCAGGGGAAATAGTGCTTGGATGACAACATGCATATTGCTGACTGCGTCAATGGTCATAAAGGTGATTGCTTTCGGTGATTTCGGTGAAAATCATGGGTTTTTCTGTCAAGAAATTCTTAGTAGCTGCGTGATGTCAGAAAGTTTTCTTTATAGGATAGGATGACAGACAGTCCTTTAGATGGTAAGTGGTTGCTGTGGCCCATAAACATCTAGATCTATCCTCGATCACGAATCCAAATGCAGATGCGTTGTCACCCGTGACGACTAAGATGGAATGCCCCGTCTCCAGTAACAAGGGTCTCCGGTTCTCTACACTCACCATACGAAACACAGCAGCATTAAGGTACTATTTGACGCTGGTATTCTGTCAGAGCGTGGTTCTTCCCCGGTCGAGCCGACCCATTCGTGCTAACACTATAGTACTAATATAACTGCAGCATGGCTCTAACACATAAACGTAAAGCCGTTGGTCTGCGTCTGATCTGTCTCCGATCGCGTTGATTACCGTCCTATCCGTCTATCAGTGTAGGGAAATAGTGCATACCCTCGGGTAGATATAATCTTGCCCTGCACAGAGTCTTCGTTAAATGGCTAAATTAAGTCAGAAGGACATTATTTTCTAGTTGTTATCGGGAAGTCCCTGGTGTTCAAACTAGAGTTTCAGTTTCCCTGTCTTCTCTTATGAGGCATGAGACATAAGAGGCGTCGGGAATTTTTTTTTTTAGGATCTTAACAACAATGTTAAATCTTCTTTGACGGCGTGGCTTAGCAGTAATTGCGGCCTTTAGGTCTTCGGATTAGACTGCTGCATGGAACAAGTATTTGTATGGCCTACAAATAATTGTAACGCGTTTGGATGTTTGTCCCTGTGAAATTTATGTAAACTGCCTCGATACGATATGACCTAAGATATAGGAGAAAAATGAACAGAACATTTTACCTCTCCCCAGTCACTGAGATACCACGAAGGTGCGCATGTACCCCCGCAAGCCCTCTCAGATTCTGGTCGTGGTGCTTGACAAGAGCCGTCGCGCAGTCTTCTGCCGTTTCCTCCTATGCAAATCACTCCTCGGACTTGGCGACCATCGCAAGCTGCCGAGCATGGAGACCATTCAGCTGAAGAAATTGTTAAATGTTAATAAAATTATAATTTATAAACAAATTAATTTAAAATTTAGCGAAATTTCAAATAATGACATACGTAAATAATATAAATCTTGAGCTAACTGGCAGTAAACTGTTATTAAACAATTTTAAGAAATAAGTATTTGATTCAAAAATTAATTTTACCTGTGAACCACTGAGCATCACATTGTTTCCTTAGGGAACACGACTGTGAAGAGTGGGGGGCGCGATGAGCAGCGCAGCCATTGGGGTCTGCACATCGTACTCCTCGAGATTGCACTCCACCCCCAACGCACCAACCGACACACTAGCGTAATAAAAAATATCAAACTATGAGTAACAATATAACTAAACATATATATTTTAATGTAATGAGACTACTATTTTATTATAGTAATTTGTCTACAAACCAAATTTTGGTTACGGCAGCCAGTCTTAACGTGGAACAACCATCTGCGCAGGACAGGATTATAGTACACTAGTGTGTGCACAAACACGGGTGAACGGTTATTCCCTTTATTCCCTCACACTCGTAGTCTGATGGGAGGAGGGGGAAGCGAGGGGGGAGGGAATCGATGGACGAAGAGATCAGGCGTAGAATCAACAGCTGTGTGTTGTCCAAAGCACCCGAAACCCCGCCAACTTACTGACTCCGGGCTGTTACTGAGAATTTCTTGTCAGACTCATTGACTGATTTTTGGCTCTACCCAGGATTCGAACTCGGGGCCACAAGATCAGCTGTCTCACTTACGACCACAAGACCAACGAGGCAGTATGCAATTTTATATCGGAGAGTAATCAAGAGAATCAGGTCCTCGCGGAAAGTCATTATAATCATTATAATAATGATGTGAAAATTAATTATTAATTAATTTCTTATATATACAAAGACACTGCACATTAAATAAAACTACTTTTATGGATTTTATCGCGTTTATTACTGCATATTTTTAATACCCGACGTTTCGGTTGCTTTGCAGCAAAAACGCTCTGGAAAGTCTGCAGTTTGTAATCATATTCCAGACGGTCCCCGCTATCCCATCAGATTTAATAGACCACATATCCTCGCGAAAGAACATCGATTGGTACCAAGGATGATACGTGAGGCTATAGAAATTGAAAAGAAAATCCTAATTTGTTATGCATAAAAGAGCTGAAATATGGCCCCTTTACGTTTAAAAATATAAATCTACTAATACCACATGTTTTGATTTAAAACTTTGTAATTTATCGGGAATTTCAAGAAGTTGAATCCATTACAGCCTATAAAAGTCCATTACTAAACAGGCGGCTCCCTATTGATTACAAATGTATACATATTATACAGAATGGGTCCCACATATATGCAATAAATGAAACCAAAGTAATACTAGTCCGTAGAAGTGTAGAAAAATTAAATATTAAATTAAAACCCGTAAAATAAAAAAAGTGAACTACTTCTGTTTTAGTTTCCTTACGTCACCTGTTACGACACCCATGGGACGATATTGGGTCGTGGATATACTTACACTGATACTACACGGTTTTCTCAAAAAAAGGTTTCACACATAAAAACATTATGTACTAGTATAAATCATTTTAGAGGAAGTTACCTCAGACCACTCAGTGTACAGCCACCCGCCAGCTGTGCTGTGGCTAAAAGATGGTTTTATCGTAGCACTAACTTCATTTTCCGTGGCATTTGCTGCTAGAGAAATAATTGGTCCCTCGCGGAAGGTTTCAGTACGATCTTTCGGTCGCACTTGACGTCTAGAATCGAAACGTGATTCAGCAGTTGTGGCTGCTGTGCCGTCGCAGTTTGGAATATTACAAGGTTTACTACTTGGAGGCATCGGAAGAGGACATTTTTGATCACTTATCTGGAATTAAATTAAAATTTTAAATGACACATAGAAAATTTCCGACTTATTTACCCGATAAAATTATTTTTTATACCTTAGTTATGCCTCGAGAATGATCTTGAACACACCCTACTATTCTTGTGCGGTGCGCTGGACCACAAACAGGGCAAGGTCCCCAAGCTGCAGCTCTCCAACGGGGAGGACAAGGAGTGGTACCACAACGACGACGCTGCGATGGTGGCGGATTGCCAGAACAATGTGCTGGAGAGACTTCTCGATCTTCCGTCTCACTGACCTCAATGCACTTGAACTTGCCTATTTGGAGACCTCCGCCGCATGAGCGAGAACATTGCGTGAACGATAATATCTTCCACATAAACTTTCTATCACCGATAACGTTGCTGTCGATTTGGTATTGACTTTCCATTGATGTGAAATCTGGTTGCTTCGATAAGGAAGGTTCGGATTTCGAGTTTTGAAGAGCACGCGTGTGAGATTCAGCGTTGTGATGGCGATGATGTCGAACTGTTTGATGATGTAAAGGAGTGTTTCTTGCAGGCGGAATGTCGTTATTCGTATCGTCGGGCGGTAAATCGGTTAAGTACTCATACTTTATGTGTGGATTCGGTTGTGTGTATAAAACCTTAAAAAAAAGGAAAGACTTAAGAATAGTTTTTTTTAGTTTTCTTATAAAAACGGAAGAGAAACCGAAAAAATTACCATAATGTCAATGGAATGATGTATGGGTCCCATAGCGAAGACATTGTCAAGACCCGCAGTGCGTGAATAGATGAAGCGCGTTCCAGCCGCTTCATATGTACCGGGTGCACTGACAGCAAATTCGCCGTTCATAATGTAGGATCCATTCGTCACTCTTAACGCTAAAAATGATAATTGCAAAAAAACATTTTAAATTTTCTTAAAAATATTTTATATTTTAACAAGCGTACATTCAGTAAATTGGCGTCTTAAACAAAGTTGTTACAGTCTGCGTCATGCAAATAATTAAACACCAATTGCAAAAGCGGCTATCTCCATTTATCTCACAATTTGCGGCGTAGGCGCCTCTATTGAAGAGATGCGCCAGCAAACTCGGCGGTGCGCGTGTGCAATTCCGATTAATCGATTCGACATCGATCTTTGCACTAGCGCGCACTTCATCTCTCTATTAAGATCACTCGTGACTACTAGTTATGGACTAAATCACTTTTATAATGAAATAATACAAATATGTAAATATATTACTTTATTGTATCTTAATCATTATATTGTCTTAACGTATAGACTATTATATATATGACCGAAACAGATAAAAAATTAGTTGTGTTTCCGAAACTTTTGTACAAATATAGTATCCTTCATTCTCTCCGTTAAATGTTTAACATCTCAACATAATCAACATAACAAAAAATCAATAATAGATTTTTTTTTTGTGTACATACCGATATAATTGTCGCTGGATACAATTTCGGAGACGTTCAGGCGACATGCACCACGTGGGATTGTGGTCACAAATGAGTAGCCTAGAGGCAATCGCGGCCGGGTAAAGAGTCCCGAAACGAGGCGGCGGCCGCAGCGGAGTTCGCGCGTCGCTGTTGACGCAAGGATGCCTTCGCGGCCCACGACCTAAAAGAATTTTATTGTTAAAAAATATACAATAAACGTTTGACGAACTTGTATTTATAAGATTTACTGAGTTTTTTTGTGGGTATTGTTGTAGTCAATAATAAAATAATAGCTGATTCCTAGTTTCTCGATTAGTAACCCAACATGTTAGTGGAATATAATCGTAATATTTATTTACAGCGCAATCGATAATTTGTGTTACAGCTTACAAAATGTTGACACCTACAGGGAACTTTTTCAAACCACAAATCAATTTGTTACGCCTGTTTTGACTTTTGAAAAAATTACCTTCATGCACAAGCGATATTAGATTAGTCATGCAAATTTACAAGAGCTCTTGAGATGATTTATGTCGGAGATAGTATTTTACGGATTATCCTGTCAGGATATTATACGGATGTAGCAAATGTTAGGCGTGGTAAAGTGAGATGGGATATTTTCATAATAGCACTTTTAAAATTTAAGTAGCTAATCTTTGCAAATTAAACATGACAAATATATCCAAACATACCTATATATACTGTGTACAGTTCGTATCCATCAAAAATTTTGCTTGCTTTTTAGTTACAAATATAAATATTTATTTATTAAATAGTTTATTACAGCCACATAGTCATTATTGATAGATGATTTTCATAAAGTTCTAATATAAATAACGATTCAGTCTATGTAGGAAATATTTGTGTTAAGAGTTCAATTGCTTTTGTTTATTTATAGAAGCTGATGTTATCTGACGTTTTAATTGACTGCGTTAATTAGATTTAAACTGAAGTCCAGGCATAGTCATTAATGCAATGTTAGAGCTTTGAACTTCGTTATTTAATTTGACATTGATTATAAGAAATAACAATTTTAAAAAGACAAAACTATTGTATCAATTTTGTTATATTTTATGGAGTATATAAAATTATTCTTAAAAGAAAACACTATACATTTAGATCAGTTAATTAATTAATTCGATGATTATATCCCGTCAAAATACACTGCTGAATTTACCATAGCTGCTCACGCTTGGTGAACGTGTTGGCAACCGCTAATTTTAAAATGACATAAATCGTTCTGGAACTACGTTTTACATTATTTTGTATGCGTGCTCATAAGGTGTTAGTCTAAATATATAGATAAGTAGAACTAATTTTTTATATATATATTAATTAAACAAACAGGAAAACCTACCTCAATCGTCAAAAAATAAATAGGAATTTTTTTATGTATTCTTGAATTTACTGAACCTATAATCCCTAATACGAAATATTGTACTTTATAATGAAAACATTCTGCTTTAGATTGTAGGTACGTAAGAAAATTAATGAATTGCTTTCTAGTAATTTGCTGGACTACAGACGGTGTAAGATAAGGGTCACGTATAGCTTGATTATAATGGATAGTCTAAGAAATTACTACCCTGTGGTAGGTGAAGCGAACAGGATTCTCCAATACAACTTCCACCATACATTATCTAATATAATTTGAGGAACAAGTGTAGTCTAATTTACTCAAAGCGCAGTATTTTTCTATTTATACAAACTTCACAGTTCAATATTAATTCAGGTGATATTATATGACGATCAGGTTATTTACAGTACCAGAGTTTTGTACATAAATAATAATTATTGGTTAAAGTAACGAAGACGTAATGTCGTTGTAAGTTTTGAAACTATATAAAAGATACAAATATAAGAATCAAATTAGATTAACGATATATATATATATATTTTTTTAACATATGCAAAAACCAGTTTATGTAATGTCGCTACTATTTTTAAGACTTTTATAGCCGTCTCTATGTTTGTTAAGTGTATTTAAAGCATTTAAAAAACAGTAATAATATTTTATGAAGAATAAGTTGTTGATTTCGTCTCAAAAGCAATTCAGTAAAATATACTTTTAACTATACTATGTCAATACAAAAATGCATTTGGCCATAATGCACACTTACATCATTTCGTAATGTTTAATGTGACACTAATGCGAGTAGAACATTAGTGAATAGTAATGTCAATTTTATGAGCCTACTACGAGATAACGACATCTAAATCTCGCATTGGGCGGCTCAGGAATTGCTTCAATCGCCAAACGCGGGGGTACTTTGTTATTTTTTAAAGAGTGCTATGATTCATTCAAAGTAACGAATCTGGCTTTTAGCTAATGCTGTTCTATTTTTTTTCTTTTATCGATTTAAAGATATCTTGCGCAACAGTAATCGTAAAGCATAATATATGATGTGTTGTATGTATAAACTTTATAAATATTTTTAATATTTAGAAATCAATTGAGTTTGATATAAGGTATAATTCAAAGGTTTCGTTATATAATGTATTATATTGTTTTTGAGCTTTACTTAAGATGTCAAGGCCTTATTACGCCTTATTTTATAAGAGCATATTATGCTAAATTATTTTTAAAAGAGGTTCTAATGGGCTGCTGTATGTGATAAACTGTAATGACACGACTGAACGTAGTAAGATAGTAATAGTAGTAGATAGTAGATAGTAGTAGTAGACCAGTAGATGAGAATGAGAGGAAAATGAAAAAGGTTGAAAATACAGCAGATTCATATTAAGAAGAAGAGCAGAACTGGAAGTTTAATACGCTTACCAAATTTTTTTATAGAAGAGGGAGCAAACGAGCATGTGCTCACCTGATGGTAAGTGACTACCGCCGCCCCAGAACAACCGCAACACCAGAGGAAGCAGGTGCAGGTGCGTTGCCGGCCTTTTAGAAAAGAGTAAGCTCTTTTATTGAAGGTCGTTAAGTCGTATCGGGCCGGTAAAACGTTAATTGTCGTCTTCAGTACTGCCGCACGTGTAGGTAACGGGCCTCGGGGTGACCCCCATTGCCCGGGTGTCCTCATGTCCCATTGCTATGGGACAGTCCTTTTGCCTATTAGGCTAAATAGCATACCGGGTTTAGGCCGGTAAAATCGCCGGTGGTAAACAATTCCACAGATAAGTTGTACGAGGAAGAAAACTCCTAGTTAAACGCGAGCTGGTGAACAAACAAACGCTTTCCAAATAACAACGCCATCATTATTACACCATATTAAAATTCCACTGTCCGTTGCTGAACATACGATTTCTCCATAAATTGCCTAATAAGGGGGGGTATTTCTATAGTCGCCACACTTAGCACAACACTTTTATTTTTGGTTTGTAGTGGATGGGGGTGAGAGGGTCTAACAACTATGTCCATTTTCCAGTTTGTATTAGATTTAATTAGTATATCTAATATTAAACTACAGAAATGTCAAATTATTAAACCAACTAGTCAAACCTATTATGGTCAAGCCAAAGAGTATAAAAGGTTTGGCCAAAGACAAATTTTTTCAATGAAGGAAAATATAACTTAGAGTTATTACCATATTCTTATCCAAAAATAAAAATTACCAACAATTAAAATATCGAATTATTTGTATAAAGGTCACATGAGCGCTAGAGAAACGACGATATTAAGACGTTGTTGATAAATGAGATAGTACAGTGAAAATAGAATTCAACTTTGCACTAAATTTCCGATCCAATATAAGGTTTATGATCACTTACTTAGCATAAAATCACAAAATTCCGACAAATCCAGGTGGCGCTTCAGGCGCCATTTTGAAAAAACGTTTTCAGCCGATATCTCGGAAAGTATGCGTTTTAAGGCAAAAGTTTTGCATCTTTTGTTTCCAGTAAACTTTTTTGTAAAACTTACCGTTTACGATTTATAGCCCATTCAATGAACCGGTTTTTCTATCGCGACCAATAACTCTTGAAATATTAGTTTAATAAATTAAATCTATTTTTAAATATCAGTTTATTTTCTATAACTTTTGTTTGAAACTTTTTTTTCTAATGTCCATACTTTTTGAGATATAGGACGTTTAATGTTGGACTACCGGGCTTTATAGTTGAAAATTTCAAGATAAGCATAGCTGCCGCGTCACCCGCCGAGTGCCGAGTTTTTGAAAAATCTCACGTGAGATTGGGGGTGGGGGAGGGGGTTGAATAAAATCTCACGACATCTCAACACGAGGGGAGGGAGGGATAGAAAATTTTAAAAAAAAAACACCTCACGTAATTTATGGACGCCCCCTTAGCGTCTCTTAGTTTTAGTGTGCGAACGACGAACTAAGTGCTCCGATTCCGCTGGGTTCCGCTGTCATCAAAAGCTTCTAAAAACTTGATGCGAATTATAAGAAAAAATGCACTTATACGTCACATTGTGAAGAAGTATTATAAATCAAATATTATAATAGATTATTTATTGCTTAAAAAGTATTACTGCACAAGTCCATGACTAATGAAAAAAAAAAACAGTAAAATTAAACTTAAACACATTACACACGTATTACTTTTAAATCAGAAAATACAAACACGCGATTAGTGAATAATCTTAACTTATCAAGTTTATTATTTAAGTAGAGATAAAAAATACTCTCAGAATATTTCATTTTAATACTTCATAAACGTAGGTCTTGTCCTCGAGACCGGATTTTAGTCATATTAAAGGATATAAAGATAATAAAGGTCATATTCATGATCACTGTCACAAAATCAATTTCTTACATAATCGAAAACATCGTTACAACAACCACGACTACCTCTATAAAAACTCACTTAAGCTAACCACACACCACTTAATCGGTGTTTTTCGACCGAATTCAATGTAACAGGCCGTTTAAATTATTTTATTACCCAAAACACAGAAACTCGATACGAATAACCAATAAATATTTCTATATTAATTATAAATGATTCAAAGAATTTTTTACACGCATTTTCCAACTAATTCATCCCGTTAATTTCTCTATATAACTGCTGGAATGGGGTCTATTTTATTGCAGGAAGGTTTCACTACAATCGCTATGCTTTTGAGGAGATTTGGCAATCGCAATACCAGAGACTTGGACCTTTGACGATGCTCCCTGTCATCGATCTAGGTACTTCACATGTGATGTGAACGGGGTGATTACACCTTCCATTGAAAGTTATGTGGTTTTTTCGGTATTTGACAAAGTCATCGTGGAGTGATAGATTCCATTACGCAGCCACCACCACACGGCAAACAAAAAAATAATACAAGAAAAGTTTAAATATAAAAAAAAAAGAAATATTTAGAATATTTGGGTTAGCTTCTTTTTATATACTTATCTTTTTATATATTATGATACTGGTTGACTCAACGGTAGGCGCCATTTCCGGCAGGTAGAACAATAAGTTTCATTCTGAATTTTCTCCGGACTTTTTACAGTTAAAACGCAAAATTTATTAATAACGTGACCGCTGAGCCACCTTTCGGAACCAGATTTTGTGGTTTTCTTTTTTAGCACTTAACCAACTTAATTGTGAATATGAGTCATTTTTGTCCACAAATATAGTATTGGTTGTTAACTTGATTACAGTACAACCTTTTAAACGTAGACAGAGAAACCTATAGACAAATTGACGCCTTCTTTCGCATTCGCACACGAAAAAGATAGATTTATGCATGCGTCTTCCATAGAAATGAGATAGAGCGGTGTGATTGTTTGTCCCTTTCTCCGTGCCGGTTTTTTTGTTTAGCAAACTCTACAGTTTGCTAAACAACTTTGACAGCGTAGCGATTTGAGGAGTTTACAAGTTGGTGAGAAAAAAAGTGTTTTGTGAGCTTAACATTGGTGAATCTTGTTTAGTTCAGTACTTAGAACAATTAAAATTTTTATCTAAATGTGTTTAAAAGTCATAAAGATTATTCTATAACCTAAAAATTCGTTATCGTTCTTTCTCACTCGAGGCCACGCCGATCATTAGTCTATAGGTTTCTCTGTCTACGGTCATTTTGGTCCACAAATATAGTATTGGTTGTTAACTTGATTACAGTACAACCTTTTAAATTTTGGCACTATGAAGCATCGAAGATGTTCAAACAACGTAAATGTACCATCGATTACGAGTAATCTACATCGAGTAAAATAGATAATATAAAGATAACCATCGATGCGTCAGTAAATGATCATGTAGCTTCTGAACGATTTAACTCGTATAAAGAAATGTATTTAGTATGTAGTTGAAACAATAAAAATAAAAAATACTTTCAGAAATTATGCCGTAACTAATGATTTAGGTATAAGATAATTAGTCTTACCGTTATAATACAAAGTTTAATTCAACAGTTGACACTAGATTAGGTACATATTCAAATAAGAAAATGTGTAGGTACGTATCTCCACGTTAGATTATTATTTTCAATTGTTTCTCGTAAACGGTACACAGCTCACAAGCACGGACAAGGCCAAAACGTTTAGGGAATGCAATTTATTGCACTCATAGAACACAGAATGTGTCATGAAATGTCAATAGACAAACCCACAAGGTTACATAAAGACATGATGTTATCCTTGGGAGCAATTACAAGCGAGGCGGCATTTTCCGAACAAAACAAGAAATAACCATTTGTATCATATATTCACCAATCTTTTGTTTTACACACGATTCGTTTGTCTGTTTGGTTTTAGTTTGTCAAGGAATATCACCGATAAGTCATAATGGGAACTTGACACAAGATTCTACTGGCTATGTATATTCAAAAATCGAACGAATGTTTCGAACGTCGCACTTAACATCGCTTTTTATGTCTTACATAGATCCTAATGATACCACTAGTAAGAAACAATTTTTATCATCAGAAATAAAAAAAACAAGTGGTTAAATAAAAATAAAACGAGTGTGCTTATGACACCGACACAGGACACGACTGAAGTAAAACTTTTTTAGCTCCATCTGTATATATATATATATATATATGCATATCTGTATAATATTTAATATACATATATTATCTATATACATATACATAAATAGAGAATACGAAATAAATAAATATACTAGATAAAATAAAATAGGGGGAACTCTTTACGTACATATATTGGTTTGTCGGTGGACTATAGATTGCACTGTGGTCGCCTTTATCGTTTTGATTTAAAGTTAAATTATTAGTGAATTCAGGATCGATGCGCTCTTAGTTATATCGATTTAAATCTCGGCTCTCTAGTCGACAAGCAGCCACAGTAGTTTCTGAAATACATAGTTGTAAGAAAGTACCAAATGAATCCCCACAGCAATGCTTCAAAGGCTAATTAAAACAATAATAGTCGAGACTATTATAAATTACATCGAGGCACCATTTTATCTTTGTAACTAGACCAACCGTTGACTTTCCATTATCATATACGATGAAGTTCGTTCGCTAAGAATTATAAATTTATTAGCTTCGTTGACTTCCACGGCTCGGAGGTACTATTCAGTGGAGTAAATTCACAGCTCCCGGTTGAACATTGCAATTTAAAATATTCATCAGTACATAAAATTGAGCTACATAGAGCAGTTTGTACAGTTCACGGGATTATCTGGAATGTTTACACCCGTTTTATTTTAGGGAAATTGAGTAATTGCAGGTATGAATAATGTCTAATTTCCTAATGAGTTTATTTGTATTGACTTTATTATAAATAGGTATAAGGGCCAGACCATAAGATTTATTTAGATTGATATAAAAATTGTTGTTTATTAATTCCAGAATTGTAAATTAACAAATTGCTGCTATAAGCGTACATCAGCGTGGACAACTTCTCGCATGGGGAGTGATCCATTATCTGGTGAATTTATATTATTGATGGAAGATATTATACAGAATCATGTTAACACACTTAAATTTGAAACTCGTATATTTTTGCAATAACACTACAAGTAGATGTTAAAATGTCTGAAATATAGAGGCGATCACTACAAGGAACAAAAATGTAGTTTATACTGAGTATACGGTAGTATCGGAAAAAGGCTATAATGCAGTTAAAACTCAAGCACGGAGTCAACTTTAGCAGCCAAAAACAAAGATTTCATGTTTTTATACAAATGTTGGCTGCGGCTGGGCCAGAATCCGCCACAAAATAGAACAGCTTCGTCAGTCACTTCTCATGTTTTATGTTTATAACTTTCATTACGTTTATGTCTTTTATTGCTTGTATTTATATACGGATATTTAGTCATACTTCTATTTTCATAAATGCCTCATGGTAAATATATTATTTTCAAACAAGTTCTATTTAATCAGAATGCACTAATCAAAATATCTTACTACGCACAGAGTTTAGTGGGAGAGAATGCCGAAAGGAATCTGCCCTTTGCAATCGTTTTATTAAGGATAAATTCAAGTGTCATTACAATAAAATGAATATAAGTAAAAAAATCTAAACGATAAAATTTAACATTCTATAAATAAACTGAAAACATTTATTTTAAATTTCCTACTTCTGCAGCAATTGGAATTTAAGAACTATGTCTACGAAATTTAGGAAAATGGATAGAGGACGGAAGATGGTATTGAAATTGTATATTGTAGGAACAATGGAATTCCGATGTTCCATACATTTCATTCCAGTGACATACGGATTTGAAATTTATGTTACCAAATATTCAGGTCGACTGAACAACTAAATCAAATAAGTGGAATTCTAAATTAACCGTTCAGTTTCAGTCAGCAAGTAAAACAAAGGTGGCTCGACATTGCGATGAAGCGTCTATGCAAACACCCGTGTGCAGCTAACGTCGGCCAACTGGGTCGCATTGTGTGTATCGTGCAATACAATAATACTTATTGCAAATGTGTAAATACAGCCAGCTAGGTATTATAATAGGTTCCATTCTAAATATAAAAGATGCTGTAAATAATTATTTTTATCAAGTTAAGGAATAAGAAGTTTTAATAACAGTTTTAAATGACGTCATGATTACTGCAAATAAATGTTTTATTTCGCTTGTGTTGACACAAACGCCATGACAATTTGATTGAAAGTTATCGCGTCCACAAGTTATCTGTCAGAGTAATCCAAACAAATACTGCGTCTGGAACGGCGCCAATAAGCTTTATTAGAATAATAACTAGACAATAATATCATCACAACTTAGTCCTCATCATAGATTCATTTTTGCCACAGTTGTGATGCTTAGGAGGCGGTTCGCCAACCGCATTTTTCAGGACGATGCTGCTGCCCATTTCCTCCTTCATCTCTCATTTTCCTCTGCCGCCTCTTACCTCAACTACGGGCACGTAGGTGAACTCACTTACGCCGCCTTTACACGGCGGGACAATATTAAGTTAAAACAAAACAATCAATAGTAAAACAATCATTTAATATAACTGGTACGAGTACTCCCAAACCACCGCGGTGTTTGTCGACTGTAATGTTGATTTCCTGGTACTAAAACGAACTAACAATTTCAATGTCAAACTTTATGACCGACGAATGCGGCAACATACATACATAAATTTATTTTGGTTTTTCTCAGAACAATTTTAACTTTAACGTTTGTTATATTTTTAGTTTATTCAAACGATGTTTTTACTGTTGAAACTATGCAATTATCCATTACTGGTAAAAATATTTTGTACGTTCGAAACGAAAGGTGACAACTTACGGTCTCAACTACTAATTTACATGTATTGTAGTTTTAATAATCAATATGAGATGAATTGTAATAAATAGAGAGATGCTTGACCCAAATTGATATAGATTATAGCAAGTGTCATGGTATTCACAAATTTTCTAATCAACTCTAGGTGACCACAATAACTGAAAATTGAGTGTCTAGACAGCATAGCAATTTACAATAATTTACACGTTGTCAATGATCTTAAATGTTTTGCTTGACTCTATATTAAAACTAAATGAATGTAATGAGGACTAAAATTGAAACATATTACTTACCGTGACAAGTATAAAGAAGAATATCGTCGAAATGTCCGTCATCCTAAATAGTTCGTCTTCTTATTTCAAACAGACTTCCCTTCTTTATCAAGACAAAAATCAATTGTTAGGAAAGAAGTGTTCGTAATTATTTGCTCGCTGTTTTAGATTAAAATAGTACCTATTATCTGAATGCTTCCTGTTTTGATATTGAAAATAAATATTTATATGTAATTTTCTCAGTTTTAAGAAAATGGATAAATTGTGGGAATATATTTCACTCGCATGTTTTTGATAGCATCCTGAAGTATGCGAGTGAACTATATTATTAAAATAGATTAAAAATCAACCTTTACTTTTTACTACTACTACTGTTTACTAAGATAATCTAAAGTTAATTAATAAGAAGTAGATAAGTCAATAGACTGTATTAAAAATCGCGCTTTACGAGTGAGATATAGTGAAGTTCCTAATTGAATACAGCGAACGCTCTAATAAATGAAACCATCTCCTAAATTTTTTCAGGTGATGCCAGTTATATGACCTTGAAATTTTGTGAAACCCCGAAATTTGAAACGTTTAATTAAACACTTTTGTTTTTATTTTTGTAAAATATCAGTGACATAAGCTTCTACTCCGTTCAAATGTTACACTGTATTTATTTCCAGACGGTGAAAAAGGTCACCAGTATATTTTATATTGTATATAATTTAACGGTCGCATTTACAACCACTAGACAGACAACTGCCTTGTTGGTTCGTAAACGCGCTAGGTTTTCCTGTCAAGAAATTCTCAGTAGTATCCAGGAGTTAAGATGTTAGCGGTGTTTCAGTCCAATGCCTCGGAAAGCTCGTAAAGCCGTTGGCCCTGCGCCTGATCTCTCTTTGATCGTGTCGAGTTACCGTCTTATCAGACGATGGGAGTGAGGGAATAGGGTAAAAATGACCAAGCTTCTGAAAAGATGATACTGAAAATAGTAGTATATTGGTATTATGCATTATTATTATTGCATATGGCGCAATTTGGAATAAATATAGGTTTAGTAGTGGATTTCCACACGCTTTTATTAAGATGAACGCATTATAACGAAATACCATATAAAATAGCCAAGTACGTTTATCACGTAACAACGAGATTAATATTGTGGACAACTAAATTTGTCGAAGGACGAATTATTATATGCATACAAGTAACAAACGGGCTAGTAGTTAACCTGTTGTGGATGTGGTGAAGTGGCTTCTGCGGACTATGGAACTTCAAACAATGAAGTTCAATCATGCGTTGTCACCTCTGATTACTACGAAATAAGTCTTAATTTGGCTTAAAAATATATCGTTCTTAGCTTAGACTAACTGTTACCCGCACGATAATATTTTATTGTGGAACGGAATGTAAAATAGCAAGATTGTGTTTTGATGAGATTTTCGTAAAATCCGTTTTTAGTGAGGCCAATATGGTAACCATAAGCTTTGCAGCCTTATAAAATCAAAACTAGGAGAAAGATAGATCAATAATTAGGAAAACTTCGAAAATCCACTTAAATAAAACTAAATACACTACCATACTTAAATCGACTAAAATATTTGCCATAATGTAAACTGACAAAATGGCGTCGATAAAGCAGCGGCCTTTTAAACCTTTATCATTTGATTGACCTATGAAGAGCTAACGTATCATAAAGCAATCGATGAAGAGCTATCGTATCTTAAAGCCATCTATGCAAACAAGGCTGTAGTTTTTGAGTTATAAGAAAGTGACCATATTACCCCCACGTACTATACATATAAAGCTAAGAGCTAGAACATTGTGTTATAGAAAAGTGACTAAGATATTGAATACATACGTACCGTAAATAAGAAATTGGGATTTTTGGTCGCTTGTTTATTTGTGATCGGATCACGTAAAGCCACAGATCGAAATCGAGTTTCCACTCTCGTACAACTTGATTTCCGATAAAGAATGTACGGTATGCTCACCGTGATGTATATTATAATGGCAGAGCTTTGATAAATAAGGGTAACCCACTTTTGAGAGTTATTTAAAAACGTTGTGGTGTAACATTTAGCAGGAATCAGGTCACGGACAATAATTTCATATAAAAGATGTGCGAAAATCAGAGCCTAAATGCAAACGTGTAAATTAGGTGTATTTTATTACTTCGTGATGATGTAAACAATGACGGAATAATATCCCTTGTAAACTTATTACGTATTAGTGTAGTGTTTACGCATTAACAGTTTATTTTCGCAGATACTAAAGTATAAATAATAACTTAATGATAATGATTTAATGTGTTTTAAAAATAATTTTCTCTTGCCAGATGTGGTAAACATGGGAACCATGTACTTATAACTATTTCATATTAATAAAATGAAAGACGTAAGTTATAGTTTGTAGTGTACGCACTTGTTTATTTTCACCTTCTTTCAGGAAACATCTTTTAAGGACTATATTATTTAAAGATTTAAGTTTTTTTAAAGAAAAATGAAAATGTTTCGTAATTTTTCATGCTTGTACATTTTTCATGTGCAGATAGGCTGTATGTTAATAAAACATTGAGCTCGAGTAAACAAGCGAAGGCGAGATAATATGTAGTAACAACAGCTGAGATACCGACATTGCGGCGCGCTACGCACTTTTTTAGCAAACAAAAAATTTCTGAATCGACAAAAACTCTTCGATACAATCTATACCCGTGAAACAAACAGCGATCTTCAATCTAAGTTAGATTTTCAAATAAGGTTATCTTACTTTTGGAGCTATATTCGGAGTTTTAAATTTGTTACGGCTGGAAAATTGTAACTCAGTACATGAGCCTATTCAAGGTAAAAGGCCTATTCAGTTAACCAAACCACACTTTTATAACTGCGTAAAAATAAATTTCATTACCGTCTCTAAATAGATTGGCACGTATTGATTTCATTTTTATTGATCTCTGCTCTATGCGCAATGATTTAGAGTTTATTTTTAGAAATAAAAATATTATAATTACGAATGAACTCTGAAATATGATAAAATACTTTGTTGATGACTAATATAAATATGAGTACTCGCTCAAATGCATGACGTATGAAGTTCTTTAATTAAAAGTGATAAGATTTACAACAAAATAATTAAACGAAGACAAAAAAAAACAACAAAAAATAAGTCATTCTGTAATTCTGTTTTTATTAACTAGTTTGCGAAATATTAGCAGTGAAATGCTATTTCATATAATATTCATCAATGAATTTGTAACTTTTATTCGCGTACGATTGTTATGGTTTACTTTATGTTATGAATGGCAGCTCTAACTTCTCAATGAATTCTTTGGGCAAAAGTGTAGTTTCTGGCAAATATCCAAAACCGCTTAATGCTTTGTTCTCAAAACATTTTAGTACACTTAGAATATTTCAATATGTGTATGTTAAGAGCGTTTTTTCGAAAACTGTAAATCAGATTGCTATTGGCACGTAACACATGTAGCTATGTGGCTGATTTGCAGCTAATATTATAACATCTATATTTTATTAAGACATTTTTTTGCTAAAATTTTTTTGCTTAACATTTTTTTGCTAAAATGTTAGGCTTTTAATAATTTTCTAAAAAAATTGCCAACTGCTCGTTAATGTCACATAGTTAAATGGTTCTTAAATAATTCAACTTGTATTAAATTAGGTTTTACGCTTACTTTTAATGTGGTCAATAAATGTCAAGATGCAACCAAAGTAAGCTTCGAATATCAATATCACAATGTCATTTTTAAAACGAATGAGGAAGTGTGAACGATAGAGTTACATCATAATTATAGCAACTATTTACTATTATTATAATATTATGTTGCTTTTTGAATGCACGTTGACGGAAAGTGCCTTCTTAAAAAAAAAAAACAAGTTTAGGCATTTTAATTGCTTATATCGGATGGTTAGACGTGAGTCTAAGGATAAAATATTAGTATGATGGGTGTGGTCCATGATCAATAAACTCGAAGATATATATGGTAATTTTATGAATGCGCTTCTTAGCGTAAGAACTATTTTGGACTTATAATTTATTGTGTGCTGGTTTCGGATTGACATTGAATTACTTTATGAATATAATGGCTTAATATTTGTACTACTAAATTTTTATTAAATTGTATTTATTTTATTCGTAGTTTTATTATATTGCTGTAGATATTCAAACAAGAACCTAAATTAATTTCGCATGACGCAGATAAAAACAAATTACTTCTTTTTTTAGAGAATAAAGATGACAAACGAGCACACAGTGCACCTGATGGTAAGTGGATACTGTGGCCCACAGACATCTACATTTAACCTCGACTAAGAATCAAAAGGCAAATGCATTGTCACCCCTGAGGACTGAGATGGAATGCCACGATTCCCGTAAAACGGGTATCTGGTTCCTTACACTCACCATACGAAACAAAGCAGCACTAAGCTACTATTTTACGCTGGTATTTTGTCAGAGCGTGGTCCTTCCCCGGTCGAGCCAATCCATTCGTGCTTCAACCATAATACAGATGTAGAGAGGCTCTACCACGTATTTCATACATAAACTTTTTGAATACTCGAAATGCTTTTGGTTTCATTTCAAAAACATCACCTACTTCATCAGCGCGTGAGAGTGAACTGAACATCGATCTCGCCCATTTTATAATAGGTTTTCCGTAATCAAATAGGCGATTTCAGTTCTAGACGTTTCGCCCCTTTGAGGATTTGGGCAATTTCTCTCTATTATTATACGTCAATGGTATACCTTAATTTATGTAAGGCCATGAAGCATTTCTAATTTTACTTATAATTGCTTCTTCACGGGACGAATTGGGGTGATGGACTTCCTAACGTTCCTAGCTACTTCAAGTGCCCAGCGTCGTGATATTGGCAAATTTTAGTAATAGGTACCAAGAGTGGAATACAAAAGACCTATAAAGCAAGAAGAAGAAAAAGTTATCTTTTTTATAAAATATGAGTGACAAACGAGCACACAGTTCATCTGATGGTAAATGGATGCTGAGGGCCATAGACATCTACGTCTATCCTCGATTAAGATTCAATATGCAGATGAGTTGTCACGCCTGA